CCTAGAGCCAGCACACACCACTCCAGGGACAGAGAGGAGAGAGCAGGAGACAGTCCAGGGCAGAGGCAGGCTCGGAGTCCATGGAGAGCCTCCCTGGGGCAACCCCTGCATCTGCAGGGTCCAAGCCCAGCACTGGCTCTGCAAGGATCCGGCCACTCATACTGTGCCCCTCCAGCATGGGGCATCTGTGGGTCTCCCTGAAGGTGGGCACCTGGGCGGCCTGGGGTCCGGGCATCCCTGCAGGCGTCAGTGATTCCCTCTGTCCCTTTCACCACTGGCCATGGCTGGGGCAAAGCAGCACCATGTGGTTTGGTTCTGGACAGCTGAGGCACCACGAGGCCCAGCATGTCTGCAGGGGCCTCTTCTAGCCCCCTCTCTGCGTGCTGAGGCTTTACCTGTTGATCAGAAAGAGGCAACAGAATCCAGAATGAGAATGCAACGTGTCACCTACCAGCCCCAGCCCCTGGCGTTAGAGTGTGGACTCGGAGCTTCTGTCCAGCAGAGGCCCCTGATGTTCAGCTGCACCGGGACAGCCGGGCAGGGTGTCACCTGCAAGGTCAGCTGCAAGGCTGGGGCTGGGGTTTGTAATCGCTGTCATCTCTTGGCCCGCAGGGTTCTCGCACATGCCGCTTTGGTCCTGATGCGCGGGGCCCAGGTCTCTCACGAGACCAGTGTTTCCCCCCATGAGGCCTGGAGAGGAGGCTTCTGGCCACTCCTGGGTACAACAGGAAGGGAGCAGCAGGCCTGAGCTTTGTATATACACCAACTGCCAAACATTTCACCGTGAATTTCCTGAGACTTCTCTCTTTGGAAAGCTTCTGTTTGTATGTATTAGGCAATGCGCATGCCACCATGTCAGCTACAGCAGGAGACAGGGTACAAGCCACATGGGAACTGATGGAGCCACGGCCACATCCAGTGTCTTCTGCAGCCGCTATGGAGTGCCGGGCAAACAGTAAGATCTTTATGATGTGAGAGAAGCCAGGTGTGGATCAGGGAAGTTGGTTTAATTGGTATGAAGAACAGGATCACTGTAAAATATTTTCTCATAGATAAAACTCTCTTTGTATAAAAGTCTCTAGAATGGCGACAGGAAACCCGTAATCATGATTTCAAGTGGGCACGGAACTAGGGTCTGGGGTCAGGGGAGGAAGGGAAACTGTTCACTGTAAACAGCTTTTAGGACGTTTCCATTGGGATCGAAGGGTGGCTGACTCTGTCACTTTGACGTGAGAATCACTTCTACCTCAGGCACTTGAAAGATGGCACTGGCAAGAGCATCATTGAATCTCTCCTTTTCCTCCTGAAGACAGGAGATAAAAATGCCCATGTGAAAGATGCCTTCCCGGCCAGGTGCAGTGGCTCATGCCTGTTATCCCAGCACTTTGGGAGACCGAGGCGGGTGGATCACGAGGTCAGGAGTTCAAGACCAGCCTGACCAATATGGTGAAACCCTGTCTCTACTAAAAATACAAAAATTAGCCGAGCGCGGTGGCAGGTGCCTGTAATCTCAGCTACTGAGATTCTCCTGAGGCACGAGAACCACTTGAACCTGGGCAGCAGAGGTTGCAGGGAGCCGAGATTGCGTCACTGCACTCAAGCCTGGGTGACAGAGTGAGACCGTCTTTAAAAAAAAAAAAAAAGAAAGAAAAGAAAAGAAAAGAAAAGAAAGATGCCTTTCCCATACCGGGCAAAGAAATATTCCTTTACAGGGAAGCACATCATAGCCGACAGAATTCTGTACAGACATTGAAGTAATTAAAGTAATTCCTGTTGTTCTTAAGCCTCCCCACATGGTTTACTTTTCCACAACTGCCTCTTTGTTCAACCTCCTGCAAAAACACATAGGTTTCGTCGCTTCTCTGGGTCTTTGCCTCCTTAGGAGGGTTCTGTGTCACATGAAGGCCACATTAAATTTGTATACATTTCTCCTGTTAATCCATCTGATTTCAACTTAGTTCCCAGGCCCAGCCAGGACCCTAAGAGGAGGAAGTGGATATTTCCCTCCCCTACAGTATCATACACATGTTGCTTTTTTAAAAAAGAAAATCTGGGGCCAGATGCAGTGGCTCACGCCTGTCATCTCAGCATTTTGGGAGGCTGAAGTGGGAGGACCGCTTGAGCCCAGGAGTTTAAGACCAGCCTGGGCAACATAGGGAGACTGTCTCTGCAAATAATAATAATAATAATAATAAGTAAATAAATAAATAAATTAGCCAGGTGTGGTGGCACATGCCTGTGTTCCCAGCTATTCAGGAGGCTGAGGTGGGAGGATCACTTGAGCCCAGGAGGTCACCGTTAGTGAGCTATGATCGCACCACTGTTCCAGCCTGGGCAATAGAGTGAGACCCTGTCTCTTAAAAATTTTTTTTAAAATTAATTAGTTACCTGATTAACACAGTTCTTTACTGGTGAGGGATTCTCTACTGTGGTCCTTCCGCAGCGCACCCCATACATGAATGGCTTCCTCTGAAGCTTCCACCTTTGTACAGGTGAGTCTTTGTCTCTGTCTTACCCTGCTTTGTGCTGCTATAACAGAATACCACAGACTAGGTAATTTATATAATGAACAGAAATGTATTGGCTCATGGTTCTGGAGACTGGGAAGTCCAAGACTGAAAGGCTGGCAACTGGCAAGGGCCTTCTTGCTGTGTCATCCCCTGGTGGAACAGCAAAGAGAGGGCAAGAGCGTGCCAAAAGGGGGACAGACTAGTCCTTTTATAAAAAATACTTTAATAACAAACCCAGTCCCATGATAACAACATTAACCCATTCCTGACGGTAGAGTCCTCGTGGCCTAATCACCTCTTAAAGGTGCTACATCTTAATACTGGTATGACGGCAATTAAATTTCAACATGAGTTTCAGAGGGGACCGGCATTCAAACCATAGCAGTCTCAAATACTGGGCTGGCCGTGGAAGAGGAGGCTGATCTTTAAATCACACAGATTTTTTCTTTTTTTTTTTTTTGAGACAGAGTTTTGCTCTTGTTGCCCAGGCTAGAGTGCAATGGTGCAATCTCAGGTCACCGTAATCTCCGCCTTCCGGGTTCAAGTGACTCTCCTGCCTCAGCCTCCGAGTAGCTGGGATTACAGGCATGTGCCACCACACCTGGCTAATTTTGCATTTTTAATACAGACAGGGTTTCTCCACATTGGTCAGGCTGGTCTCAGACTCCCGACCTCAGGTGATCCACCCGCCTCGGCCTCCCAAAGTGCTGGGATTACAGGCGTGAGCCACCATGCCTGGCCAGAATGTTCTTTAAAAACAGGGACAATCCCATGAAGTAAACTCACATTGGAATAGTTAACAGGTAAAGTGATCCAGGTGGCTAAAACAATAGACATTCGCTGGCATCCAAAGTACATAAAGATGAGTACTTTGAGATCGCGCCACTGCACTCCAGCCCGGGCGACAGAGCGAGACTGTCTCACAAAAAAAAAAAACAAAAAAAACAAAAGGATGAGCACTTTCACCTCAAGAGTTGCTGGGCCCAGATGCTGAAGGCACCCTGATGGAACTCTAAAGACACCAGCCTCTGGAGTTTTAATCTCTGGAGTTTTCACAGCCAACAGCATTCCTAGGTAGACTGGCTCTGAACACATCCAGTTGGAGGGTAAAAAGAACGACTTGTGAATGCTCCATAGGTCTTCGAATATGTTAGTAGACACGACTTCAAGCCAGTTGCACAGCCTTGAATATATCCAAGTCTATCACCTTGGGCTGCGAGTGGCTTGTGCGGTCATTTGTCCATCTCTCAGTTGGGCGAGAAACTTGAGGTCCTTTCTGAGAGGTGGCCCTGGCTCTGCCTGGGACCTGCTACTCTTCTTCAAAGTGCATTTTGTATGGGTGGGTTTTCACTGTGGGTCCTGGGCAGGCAAGTGCTGGTGCCCAGTGTTGGGGAGCAGGGTAGAGGTGTGGCCGCTACCTGGCTGGGCCCGGACTTGGCAGCCTTCCTTCATGGCCCCCAACCACAGCCAGTTCCATAGTTTGTTCCTGATGTGTCAGCTTTGTGTCCCCGTGAGAACAATGGGCTCCTTGAGGACAGGCATTGCATCTTCAGGTCTCTTCCCTAATGCACCCCACGGCGCCCAGCATAGACAGCAGGGGGTGCAAGCAGTCAGACGAGCAGGGCTCCCATTACCAGCACAGGACCCAGCCCGTTACCTGGATGCTATGTTTCCCATGTAAACTGAGCAATACCCAATTCTAAGGAACTGTTCTGAGGACTAAATTGAATAGTAAAAATACATTTAAATTTATTTTTTAATAACTTTAAATATAAATATTAAATTATTTTTATATTAATATATAATTAAAATATAATATATTAATATATAATTAAATTAAATTTATAAATAATTAAAAATAAAAATAAATTTAGTAAAAATAAACAAATTGTAAAGTAAAAAATAAATTGACATGAAGTGAAGGTCAATCAAAGTGGACTAGCTTGGCCAGGCGCAGTGTGGCTCATGCTCTCAATCCCAGCGCTTTGGGGGCCGAGGAGGGAGGATCGCTGAAGTCCAGGAGTTCAAGACCAGTCTGGACTACACAGCAAGATCCTGGCTCTAGCAAAACATTAATAAAAATTAGTCGGGCGTGGCCGTGCCCACCGGTGGTCCCACCTTCTCGAGAGGCTGAGGCGGGAGGATCCCTCGAGTCCTGGCGGTCGAGGCTGCAGTGAGTCGATTTCGCGCCATTGCGCTCCAGCCTGGGCGACAGCGGGAGACTCCTTCTCAAACACAGAATTTTAAAAAGGCCAGCTCGACTGCCGCGGGGGTCGCGTCCTCTCCATCCCCGACCTCGGACCCACCCCCCTGGGTACCCCACGATCTAGACAGAAACTCACTGTTCCTGGTGCTCCGCGCCATCCCCGTCCTCAGAGCGCTGCAACCCTACACCCCCGACCCTGCGCCCGCCCGAGCTGCTTCCGGGTACTTCCGGCGCCCGCGCGGATCCCGGCAGCCGCCGCTCCTGTTTTCGTCGGACGGCGAGAGCGCAGGACCAGCTTCCGGGAGGTGCTCCGCGCGTTCGCCGATCTCTGCGGGGAAGATGGGGAAAGTGAGGGGGCTGCGCGCCAGAGTGCACCAGGCTGCCGTGAGGCCCAAGGGGGAGGCCGCCCCCGGCCCCGCGCCCCCTGCTCCGGAGGCGGCCCCTCCGCCGGCCTCGGCCGCGGGGAAGGTGAGTAGGGGAGGCGCAGGCCAGGGGCTGCCGCGTGGGTCCGAGGGCGGGTGAGCTGCGGGGCTTCGCCTCCGGCAGGGATCCGCGACCCAGGCCCACCCTCGGGCCCTGCGGGCGTTTGCTGCGCGACAGACGCGACCTTCTTGCTTCGCGAAGCGTCGCGACCTCCGAGGCTCCGCTCTGCGCTGCAGTCCTGGGCACACGGCCTCGCGCCGCTCCCGGGGCGGGGAGAGAGCCGGGACCCTCCCGCTGCGGTCCAGGGTTGCCACGCCGACCCCAGAGGTTCCTGAATCGCACTGAGCTCCTAGCAAAGGAAAGGACGTTCCCAGGGTTAGAGAAGGACGGAGAGCAGACTCAAGAGAGACCCCGTTCCCTTTAGCAGTCAGCTGCCTGTTTCCCCATCCCACTCAGCCCTAGGCAAGCACGAATCTACCTTCTGTCTTTGTTCCAGACACTGCACGTGAAAGGAATTACTGCTTTCAGGATTTTTTTTCTTAACTTTTGCCTTAAATATTTTGACCGATGTGTCTTGGTGTAGATCTCTTTGTATTTATTTTGCGTGGAGTTTACTGAGCTTCTTGCATGTGTACGTTAATGTTTTTCATTACATTGACAAGTTTTCAACCATTATTTCCTTGAGAATTTTTTCTGCCCTTTTCTGTCACTCCTCTCAGATACTTCCATTATAAATACGTACGTCGTGCTTGATGGTGTCCCACAGTGCTCTAAGGCGCTGTTCATTCAGTTTTTCTCTTTTCTTCAGATGGCATAATCTCTCTCTTAATTCAAGTTTACATGTTCTTCCAACCCAGAGCTACTTTTGAACCCCTCCAGTGAAATTTTTCATTTTTTTTTGACCCCAGAATTTACTTTATTTCTCTCCTCCTGTTTCTCCTCCTTTTAAAAATAGTTTGTCTTTACTGATGTTTTCTTTTTGATGTGAGAATGTCATTATACCTTCTTTTAGTTCTTTAGACAATGGTCTCTTTTAGTGCTTGGAAATATTTATAATGGCTACTCTGAATTGTTTACATGTGGGCTCCTCAAAGCAGTTTCTGTTGCCTGGCTCATGCTTTCCTAGTTCTTTGAATGTATCACTTTTTGTGGAAAATTGGGCGTTTTGGATAGTCTTGTAGCAACCAGGGATTAGTATTTGCTTGATTACTTTGTTTATTGATCTAGCACTGAGCTATGTGACCTCTCTCCTTGTCCCCTTCCAGCTGTGTGTAGCCTCTGATGTGCCCCCTTGTTGTTGTTGTTGTTGTTGTTTTTCTCCTTCCTCTGTTTATCTTTTAGCCTGGCTACTTGGATCTGCTTAAGCTCCTTACTGGTCAGCAATTGTTCTTAACACCTCCTTGGCCAGTGGGTTTTTGCCCTTTACCACTGGATACCTCTGGCTTGGAGGGGCTGTCAGGTTCAGCGTGTTCGTATTTTTGACCTCCCTTCTGCCCTCAGAGAGGCACAGCCAAGGCCTGGTAGCTTACAGAGTCCCTCTGCTCACTCCTGGGAGGGCACATCGGTGAACACGCGCACAGCCTCCAGACTGCCAGGGATGTGACTTCCTGGGAGTTGTTCCTGGGTCAGGGGGGCTTACCGTCTACCCAGGAGCCTTGGGCACCCTGCCCTCTGCACCCGTCACCACCCAGAGCTCCTTCCTGGTCAACAACACCCTTAGGCGTGAGGGCCCTCACACGAGCTGCAGACAAAGTGAGTCCCGTCTGGCAGAGCTGTGGAGTTCTTTTTGCAGTCCACCTCTCCTGGGCAGGAGCTCCATGTCCGGACACCAGAGATGGGGCAGGAGCAGCTTCAGCTTCTCAGGTGACATCTCTCTCTACTAGCAGGAGAGGGGTGTGCCCCTAGTCGTCTTGGCTCACTGAAACCTGCGCCGTGCTGGTGGCTGAGGTGGGGCTGATCGGGAACCAGTGTTCTGATGTCCCTGCCTGGGGTGGAAATTAGAAAATAGAATTATCAGACAGAAACTAAAAAACAAGTGTGTCTGAAAATGTGGAAGACATAATTCAGGAATCATAGAAAGGAACAAAGAGCCGTTCAAAAGACTTGGCAAATTTGAAGATAAAAGCAACAGATAGAACTTGTATATATGGAAAACACAGTTATTGAACTTGCATATGGAATAGACAGGTAAAAAGGATTTGTAGTGTCTAATCAGACAATGACATTGTAATCTTTGAAAGACGTTCAAATGATGTAACAGCGTTTTTTATATTAAGCTCCAGAAATATGCATTAATGAAGTATAAAGTGCCACCATGGAGAATGTCCCGGGTACGGTGGGAAAAGCAGTCGTATGCCATATACCAGCGTACATTCATGATCTGGAAGGCTGCACGCTCCAACCCTTGTCCCCACCTGGGCCTTGTTTGCCTGTGAGGCCTCAGCCTACCTGTGCTGCCTCAGCCACCTGCCCACCCATTTGAAGGCTGCCCTGGTCTCCAGCACTGTTGCCCTTCGAGTCTGATATTTTCCCATGTACCGACTTTTCTGTCCCTGCCACGTGACCCCCCAAGACCAGGGGTTTTTCCCTCAGGTGCTGTGAGTGAGGGCGCCTGGGAGCTGCAGTCCAGCCTGGCACCTCTTGGTGCCCTAGCTGCCTTCTGCCTCACCTGCACCCTGTCTCCTCTGTAATGTGAGGGAGGCCACATTTTACCTCTACCTTCAGGGTTTTCAGGTTGGGCCTGAGATTTAGACTCACGTAAAACAGGTAAACAGGAGAAAAGCATACACATTCGTCGAAGTTTTATGTGACATGGGAGCCTTATAAGGAAATGAAGACAAGGAAGTGGGAGACCTTTGTGCTTCTGTGAGAGGGTGAGAGGTTGAATGGAAGTGGTTGTGGAAAACTAAACCACGCGGGGGAGGCAGGCTGCAGGACGGGAGGGGTTGTGTTCACCAGGTGTGTCTGTACAGAGTGCTTTTGGCTCCTCTCATCCGTCCCCGATGATAAGAATGTCGCTTTCCTTCTGGTGTAGGAGGGCATCTTCCACATGGGGATTTTATCTTCTTTCAGGATAAACAGGGAGGGAGTTAATGTGCCCTCTTGGTACCTGCTATATTTTTAAGTGCCTTTAGCTCAAAATAATTCTTTTGCCAAAGTGACATGTTTTGGGGTGGCATATTCTGACGCCCTTCAGAAACCTCTGTTGAGGTCGGTGCTGCCTTCCCTGCCAAGGTCAGTGAGGCTTGCACGTGAATGGGCCAGGCAGCACGGGGGTCAGGGACTGGGGGTTCTGTCTTCTCGCAGTGTGGTCGACAGCTGACTTGGAGGAGCTGAAATCTTCATGTAGGGATGAGTGTGGCTCAGAAACAGACCTGGCAGAGAGGCCGCTGAGATGACTGGTTCTGATGAGGTGTGGTCATTCTGAGCTGAAGGGGCTGGCAGGCTGGGAGCTGCCTATCCTTCATCTGCTCAGCTGCAGGTTTCTTCTGCGACACAGGAGGATGTTGTAGAAAGAGTAAGAAGAAACGGTTGGGCAAGAAATTTGGTTATTGAGATACTGGTCCTGACTCCTGAAGCCCATCTGGTGATTTCAGGCAGGGAGCAGGTGGGCCTGGGCGCTGCGGGTCTGCCCTGGAGCTCTGGGGCCGGAGGCTCCTGCTCTGGGAGGTGAGGACTGTTTCCCCCAGGTCCTCCCAGGCAGAGAAGCTGGGGAATCCGGGTTCTTGTCCTCCGTCTTCTCCTCACCTTTAACTTCCCTCTGAAACCACAGAGCAAGTCTCACACCGTTTTTTTCCTTCCTTTTTTGTTGGGGACATTAGGACTGGGCGTTCATCAACACCAACATCTTTGCCAGGACCAAGATAGACCCCAGTGCCTTGGTGCAGAAGCTGGAGCTGGACGTGAGGAGTGTCACTTCCGTCAGGAGAGGTGAGCAGTCTTGAGTGCGTGGGTTGCCATGCTGATGCCCAGCAGATCTGGGATCACTCACTCACACACCCGAGGTCTCAGCAGCTTTCCAGCTAACCTGTACCTGACAATGTCCTTGAGCAAGGGATGCCTCTGGCTGTTTGTTGGGGCGATTCCCCAGAGTAGATTGCAGCGGTGGTTTTGCCCCTGGGCTGCATCTTGTCCCCCCAGCTACGCAGGGACTGCCCTGCATCCTGGCGGCAGCGCTAAAGCCACAGGAACTTGGGCTTCTTTGGTGACCAACAGGGTTTGAACTCTTTTCTCCGTGTGTGCTGATTCTCATGGTCTGTCTCTATGTTTGGGGCAGTTTTGATCCCTTTTCTTAAATAAGTGCTTTATGTGTTGCAGAGGTTAGCTGTTTATCATTTTGTACAAATAACTCGTTAGGGTTTAGATCCTGAAGCCCAAGTGGGGTCCTGTCAGTTTCATCAGAGCCACGTGCAGCCCTTCCCTGTCTCCTGATTATACTCCTTGCAGCCCTGCAGCACACACGTCAGCCTGGCCAGGGAGAGGCCCGGGAATTCGCACTCACTCCAGTGTCTGGAGCTTAGCAGGGAATGCAGTCCCCTGCACCTCCTACTGAGCCTGAGGTGTTCTAGAGAGTTCCAGGCCTCCATGCTCAACGCCAGAAGTGTTGACTTTCAGGCTGGAGGATGGTGACACAGTGTCACTCCCAGGGATAAATCCAGGAAAGAGCTTCCTTCACTCATCTAAGGGAGTCCATGAGGGCCACAAGGAATACTTTTTACATCTTGACAGCCTCAGAGAGCCATGGGTTGGGGAGGGAGAGGGCCTGGCTGTGGGTGCAGAGCTCAACTTTTTACATCTTGACAGCCTCGGAGAGCCACGGGTTGGGGAGAGAGAGGGCCTGGCTGTGGGTGCAGAGCTGGGGACACCAGTGTGACAGTGAAGACTGCACTTGACTTCACAGTCTGCAGAGCTGGGAGTGCCAGGACAGGGCACGAGCCAGGTCTGGGGCCTGTAGGCAGCCCCTTGAGAGCGTGGCTCTGGGCCTCTGCTCCTCACCGCCTGGTAGCCTCTGGCTGCACACTTGATCACTCTGGGCCTGAGTTTTGCATCTGTCAAAGGTGGTAACAATATTTATCTCCTAAGTTCTGGCAGTTTTGAGGTTGAGATGAGTTAGTTGGTGTGAAACGTTTAAAACACTGCAGTGAAGGCCGTGGAGGTGTCCGCTCCGCATCTGTTGAATGAGGCTGGTCTGGTGGCAAGGCTGGGGATGAGTGGGTTTTGCAGCTGCCCAGAGGTGGCCAGCCTTAATTCCTTGGGCGCGTCGTATGATTGTGGTTGCTCTCTGACCCTTAGCTGCATTGTCCACAAAGCGGCGACAGACATAGCTCATGGGTGCTGAGGGCTTCACTGTGCCTCTGGAAAGATCCAGGTACGTTTAGCCAGTGCTGGTTTCCTGCGCCTTCTCTCGGAGGAGGACCTGGTGAGGTGACCAGGCCAGGTAACTCCAGAGAGCAGCCGTGCCTTCCAGCCAGAAGCCTCGATGTTGTGGGTGGTCCGCCCGAGCTGTGCGCTCCCTGATTGCCGACGAGGCCACTGAGGCTGTCCCCAAGGGGAGGGGAGTCATGGGTCTCACTGACCTGGCTCTGGCCTGAGCTTCTCAGAGAAAGCTTCTCTTTCACACAGCGGCCTCTTTCCTCTGCCTTTTCTTGGCCCTCTCCCTTCAACCCCTGTGACTCATCTGGTCCCCAAGGCCACCTGCTGCACTGACCCTCACGTCCCCTCTTCCCCTCCTAATTGAGGGAGGCGTCACGCTCACGACCCCTCTTGCCTGCCAGGGAGACCCCTCGTTAGCAGCATCTGGCCTCGCAGTGTTCTTGGGCTGAGGTCACGCCCAGCAGCCCTGTGGCCTCTCCTTTGAGCCACCCTGGATCTTCTGGTTTTGTTTGTTTGTTTGTTTGTTTGGAGACGCAGTTTTGCTCTGTCACCAGGCTGGAGTGCAGTGGCGTGATCTTGGCTCACTGCAACCTCCGCCTCCTGGGTTCAAGTGATTCCCCTGCCTCAGCCTCCCGAGTAGCTGGGACTACAGGCACATGCCACCACGCCCAGCTGATTTTTGTATTTTTAGTAGAGATGGGGTTGCACCACGTTGGCCGGGATGATCTCGATCTCTTGACCTCGTGATCTGCCCGCCTTGGCCTCTAGGTGCGGGGATTACAGGCATGAGCCACCACGCCTGGCCAGGTCTTTGTTTTCTGTAAGCTCAAACCTCATTAATTTAGAGTAACTGGTGGGAGAGGGTAGAAGCTTGAACTTTATGGTGTCAAAGATTGATTTCAAATTTCAGAACCACCTTATGCGAGTAGAGCATAGAAATGTTTTCTTGAAGTAATTGAACCATAAGTTGAAAAAATTTGAAGATTCTGTTGATTGCGAGTTCATTGGGTAATTAATTTTTTTCTTAATTCATATACCCTTATTTGTGCATAAAAACCTTAAAGCTTGTGCCGACCGGACTGTAGCGTGGCCCGTTCTGGTGCTCCCCAGCCCTGAGCTTGTGCCGACTGTAGCGTGGCCCATTCTGTGCTCCCCAGCCCTGAGCTCGTGCTGTGTGGACTGTAGCTTGGTCCATGCTGGCGCTTCCTGCTTGTGTGCAGTGTCTCCCATAGCTCTCCTGGAGGGGCACAAGGATGGGAATTATTTGAGCTGTGTGGCAGGATCAGGGTTTTGGGTGTTGGGGCCTTGGCCTGGGGATGCACTTAGTGGCTCTGGCCAGGAGCCGGTGGTTTCGTGCACTGCCCATAGCTGTGATTTCTGCTTCGGTGCCCCAGGGGGATTCAGGAGAAGGTGCTCCAAAATGGTCCCTTGGAGGTTGTCCTTGAGGTGCGTTCCAGGTGGCCATCCTGTGGAAGGGGGTGTTCTGAGCTCATCGCCGCGGATCCCCATCACAGCCTTCCTGGAGCGAGGCCTCTGGCCAGCCATCTTTGTCTGTGGCTCTCGGCCCAGGGTTCTGGTGCATGTTCTTTCCACCGCCTGCTGTGGGTTCTCTGCCCTGAAGAGTCCTGGGCTGGATGAAGGGGACCATTGGACCTCACAGAGGGCTCAGACGGAGGGACAAGCCTCCACTTCCTCTGGGATGTGAAGCGCCAGCTTGGCAGGGTGGCAGGGGTGCCTGGCCCCAGCCCCTTTTCTTCGGGCTTCTGAGGTATCCAGGTGCCTCACTGGGCTCCTTTGCATCTTGGCTGCTCCTCACCATGTTCCTCCCTCTGTCCAGGAACAGTTCTGTTTTTTTGGTGTGGTCTCCTCAGCTCCTCATTGGCTGGTGCCCTGGGTCCCTACCGCCCCCCCCACCCCACCCCGGGCTTGTGCTGGGCCCAGGGCAGGCCCATGTCATGCAGATACCGCATCCTGTGGCTTGGCCGCCTCCCCTCGGTGACCCGCCTGGCTATGGAGGTGGGGTGGCGGCCTGTGGGTGCCTGTCTGTCTGGATTAGTGCAACACCAACTTCCCAAGATGTGTCTCATCGTCCTTGCCCTGGCCTGAGTCGGAAGTAGCACTGCATGCTGCATCTCTGGCCAAGGAGCCGGGTGGCCCAGGGGAGGGGTCTAGGCTGTGGCCCATCACTTGGTGGACATCCATGTGCCCACCTGCGCCCCTCCTCTATGTTTTTTTGAAATTGGGATCCCAGCTTGCCCGGAAGCCATATCTGCCCCCAGTTCCCTTCCTATGCCCTGGGGCCTGCCTTACCTTTACAGGTGGGCCCTGCATCCTGGGAGGAACCCTCTGAGCTCTGCAGCCTCCTGCCATGAGAGGAGGAGGGCATGGGTGCAAGGCTGAGGCTGGCCCAGAGTCCCCTCCCGCCCCAGCTCTCTTAAGACCCTCTGCACCTCCCCAGCAGGACTCCGCTTTGCCTGTGGGCCGGGTTGTGCATGCAGGGGCTTTGTGGCAGCCCGTGGACCCCATATCGAGGCTACAGCTCCTCCGTGTCTGCTTTGGGGGTGGCGAGGGACCTGTGGCAGAGCTGGAGTGAGCACCCGTCTCCTGAGCCTCCCCCTACACAGTGCCACCTGCTGTGCGTGCTGTGCAGCCCGCTCTAGCTGGCGCAGTGAGCTTGTGCAACACCAGAGCCTGGCAACCGGCCGGGTGTCCAGTGGTTGCTGCATCCTCCAGCCTTGGGCATGGCGCCAATCCTTGGCATCAGGCAGTCCGGGGAGCTGGTTGTGCAGCCTTGGACACAGTGCCAATCCTTGGCATCAGGTGGTCCGGGGGAGCTGGTCATGCAGCATCATGTGGTCCAGGGAGCTTGTCGTGGAGCACGCTTAGAATTGGATTTCTAGTTCTGTGTTCCTTCATACCAGAAAATGAACCCACCTGTTTTCAGACGCACTCGGGACTCAAGCCCAGAGACACGGGCAGGGTGGGGCGAGGCCTAGTGTGGACTCAGAGCCAGGTGGGGCTGGGGGTCCCTGGAGCAGAGGGTGGAGGGAGGCCTGTCACCATTGCTGGAGAGGGAGCTCAAAGCACGGTGGACGGCTTGGGGGCGTGGGGGCCGTGAGAGGCGCCGGTGGGGTTACAGGATTTTGGAGGTGTTGCTTTTCTGGCCAGATACCTGTGGCCGGTGGCACCTTTGCTCGAGTTTTGCCCAGGGCCGCTGGGCTCGTTTCACCCACTTGGCCTGGCAGGCTGTGCTAAGCTCGTGCTACTGGCCTGGATCCCATGGCTCCAAGGGAGACTGGAGTCGGGCATGGAGTGGCAAAGGGTGTGTGTGAGCAAGCATAGGGTCCGGCCGTTGCAGGCCAGCGCCAAGCCACCCTCAGCCCCTGCCTTGGCTTCCTCCCAGAGCTTGTTGGTGCCCAAGGTCCAGAGGAGCCCGAGGTGGCAGGGCCTGGGTGTGTGCACACCCAGCCGGGCCGTGACAGCGCCTGGGCTCAGCCCCAACCCCATTTTGAGATTGGAGTGGGTGTTGGAAGCAGGGAGAGGCCAGGCAGTAGGAG